AGCGTTCCTCACCTGGCGGCAGCTCTCTCCACCTGACGCGCTGCCCGCCGCCGCCGGTCGTCGCCGGTGAGTGGGGACAGGTGAGGCCGCCGAACCTCGGCTCACTCCGGCCCCGCCGCTGCCGGCCCCTCCGTCCGCTGTTTATTAAACTTTTCTGTTTGGTTGTTCGGCCTATGACGTGACCGCGGGGGAGAGCTCCGGGATTGGCCGGCGCCGGGCGCTGACGCTACACCCCCCGCCCGCAGCCTAATTATTACCGACCCGGGCGGAGGTGCAGGCCGGAGGAGGCGGGGAGAGGCGGGGTCAAGGCTCGGAGCATGCGGCGATTGGCCGGACCTGAGAGAAGAGGCGGGGCGGGGCGAGGGCAGACGCTCCTCCGCCCTCTCCGCCTCCACGTCCCTTTCTTCGCCCTGCCTGGGGGGGGCGCCTCTCGCGTTGGTCTCTTTTCTTCCTGAGGCTGCGGGAGGGCGGTTCGAGAGGTCCCGCGGAGACTGAAAAGGTCTGGTGATGGTCTGGTTTCTGCTCCCTCGCAGGGAGTGGCGTGTCCCTTTTTCTGATTGAAGCGCCAGAAAGAGTTGCGCTCCGTCTGCCAGTTGTGCAAGAAGGAATTCTGAGCGGCTCTCCCCACGCCACCCGGCGTCCCCGTTCTTTGCAGGCGCAAAGTTCGAGCTCTGGGTACGTTCTTGAAGGCGGCACTCTGCCCTGTCCTGAGCCAGAACTTGGAAAGAGGAACAAGACTAGAAGCGTGCGTGCACACGTGTACAATACACACATGTACGGTCACTCACGTCCCCCCACAAGCATCCCCTGTTCCCAGCCTCTTCCAACAGCGCGGACTCCAGTTCCCAGCTGCGTGGTGCCGGCCGCACTGCTGCGCTGGGGAAGGGGTTGGGTGGGGGGAGAATGGTTCCCTCGGAGTTTCTCAGCCTTCGTTCGCGCTGACCTGCAGCACAAGCAGGAAGTACATGACACTTCGAGGTCATTCAATCCTACCGAGAGTGAGGGGTTCGGATGGGGCCCACAGGTAGGAAGGGGACCGAGTCCTGAGGATCTTGTCTTTATTTTAAATTTGATATTTTGTTATTCATGGACTTTTTGCATTAATTTTGAATTTTAAATATATGGTACTCATATTAAAATGTTATTTATCTTGATTACTGAGCTTTTTGGTGTCTCCTTAAGTCTTATGCCTGAAGTGAGTACCTCAGTAGTCTCACCCTAGTCGGGGCTCACTTGGGGGAGGAGGATTTTGACATGGCTTACTGTGTAGAGGTTAGGCATCTTACAATGAGCCATTGGGATAAGAAACGGTTGATTATGGAGGGGAAAACAGGCCGGAAGGAAGTCTTCAAGGAGGAGGTGGTATTGGTTTGTGACACTGAAGAGAGTGAGTGCCTAAGGCTTAGCCTGCTGGGAATGTCAGGAAGCACTTTCCTGCTGTCCTAAAGAGGCTGGAAGATACTATGCTGGGTTTCAAGAATAGAGTATGATATTTTGTGAGGTGACAAACAGGTTCTTCAGGGGCTTGGTAAGGAATGTAACATCTACAGTTGTTCCTATGTAAAAATTTGGAGCAGGACAGTGGTAAACTGAAGGGTGCTTGTCCAGGGCCTAAAGGTATTCATCATATGTTTTTAAAAGGCATTCAAATTCAATTTTAAAATCGTACATAAAGGCTGGTAGTGGGTTATCAGAACTTATTAACATTAGTGTCACTAAAGTTCCTATACTCCCCCCACTACTAAATTTGGCTCTAAAAAAAAGTACATACAAACAAGCAATGGGCTAATCCAAAGAAAGAAGATTTTTGCCTAAAGATATCAATCTGATAATGGAGACTAGGTTATAATGGAGACTAGAAATAGTTTGGGGTTCAATTTTGACAGGTCTTAAGAACCAAATTGAGTACAGATGTCCCAATTTAGAATGGTTCAACTTAATTTTTCAACTTTACGATGGCTAGAAATAGTTTTGGGTTCAATTTTGACAGGTCTTAAGAGCCAAATTGAGTACAGATGTCCCAATTTAGAATGGTTCAACTTAATTTTTCAACTTTACGATGGTGTGAAATTGATATGCATTCAGTAGAAACTGTACTTCAGGTACCCATACAACCATCCTGTGTTTTACTTTCAGTACAGTATTCAATAAATTACATGAAATATTCAATGCTTTATTATAAATAGGCTTTGTGTTAGATGATTTTGTCCACCTGCAGGCTAATATAAGTGTCCTGAGTACATTTAAGGTAGGCCAGGCTGAGCTGCGATGGACAGGTTAGGTGTATTAAATGCATTTCAACTTAGGATACTTTCAACTTACAATGGGTTTATTGGGACATAACCAACATAAACCCATTGTAAGTCAAGGAGCATCTATAGTTGACTTGACTAAATGGGAAATGGGAAGCCATTTGAGAAGGAATCAAAAAGGAAAGGAAATGGTGAATTATAACAACTTGGTAGAAACTGCTGGTACTAGGAATAATTTTGCAGCCTAGAGTATTTTCAGCTGTTCACTGGTCTCTGATCATTGTACAGCAGAACTATATGCAAATAACATAGGGTTTTAGCCGGCATACAAATTCCTGCTCAGACATGTTTTGTCTCTGTGACATTGAGCAATATCGTAACCTCCCTACTCTCAATTTTCTTCAAGTTCGGGAAATGACAGTGAACAAAACAAAGATCCTTGCCTTTATACATTTTCCATTCTAATGGGGGGGGATGCAAATAGTAAAGCTAATAAGTACCATATATGTTGTGAGTTGGAAAGTGGTATAGACAGAAGATAAAGTAGAACAGCATGAAGGATGGGTGGGGAGTAAAGATTGCAGTTTTTTTTTTTTTTTTTTTTAAAAGATGACCGGTAAGGGGATCTTAACCCTTGAGTTGGTGTTGTCAGCACCACACTCAGCCAGTGAGCGAACCAGCCATCCCTATATGGGATCCGAACCCATGGCCTTGGTGTTATCAGCACCGCACTCTCCCGAGTGAGCCACGGGCCGGCCCAAAGATTGCAGTTTTAAACAGGGTAGTTGGGGTAGGCCTCATTGGGAAGGGGAGTGCTATGGTTTGAATGTGTCTCCAAAAGTTCGTGTGTTGGAAACTTAATCCCCTGGGCAAAAGGTGGAGAGGTGAGACCTTTAACAGGCGATTAAGTCATGAGGACTCTGCCTTGGATTAATAGATTACCACGGGAGTTGGTTTGTTATAAAAGCAAGTTCGGCCTCTTCTTGCTGTCTCCTGCTCTCATGCCCTCCCACCTTTAGCCATGGGATGGTGAAGCATGAAGGCCCTTGTGGGATGGACTCAATCTTGGGCTTCCCAGCCTCCAGAACTATAAGAAATAAATCTCTGTTCTTTATAAATTACCCAGTCCTCCAGTATTCTGTTATAGTAGTACAAAAGGGACTATGAGAAGGAGGTTTGAATTGCAAGAGGTGAGGGTGTCAGTCATGTGAAGAGTATTCCAGACTGAGAGAACAGTTAGAGCACTGGTCCCAAGGCAGGAACAGCAAGGAAGCCCATGTCACTGCAGCTAAGTGAGCTGGGGAGAATAGAGAGAAGTTAGAGAGGTAGGGGAGGACCAGATCACATAGGTTCTTGTGGGCCATGTGTGTATGCTGGCTTTTACTGTGAGATGAGGAGCCAGTGCAGAGGTTTGAGCAGGAAAGTAACAAGATCTGACTAATTTTAAAGGATCATTTCAGCTACCATGTTGAGAGTACACTAAAGGGCAACAGGTTAGAAGTAGGAACACCTATTTTTCTGTTTGAATCCACATGAGAGGTAATGGTGACTTGAACCAGGGAACAGCAATAGAGGTAATGAGAAGTGGTCAAATTCTGGATATATTTTGAAGGTACTTCCAACAGAAGTTCCTGATAGATGGAATGATACATGGGATGTGGGGTGGGAGAGGGATGAGTCAGGGATTACATAAGGTATTTTTGGCTTAAGCAACTGAGAAGTGGAACAAGAGGAAGATTGAGATTATTTTCACACATGTTGAATTGGAGGTTATTATACATCAAAGTGGAAATGTCAGGTAGACAGTTGGATGTATGAGACTGGGCTTCAGGGTGGAGGTCTGGTGGAGATATAAATTCCAGAGTCGTTATGGAGATAGAACCTAAAGCCATGAGACTGATCAGGAAGTGAGCGTAGAGAAGAAGAAGACTGAGCCCTGAGGGCTCTGACCTTGAGAGTTCATGGAGAAGTGCAGGAATTAACAGAGGAGACAAAGAAGGAGGAAACAGAGGTTAGGAGGAAAACCAACAGAATATGGTAACCTGGAAGCCAGGGAAAGGCCTGTCAAGGAGGGGATGGTCAAGTGAACTGTGTCAAAAGCTGCTGATTATTTAAGTACAATGAAGACTTGTATAGGACTGAGAATTGACTGTTCTGTTGCATTTAGCGACATGAAGGTCACCTTGGGATGGTCAAGTGAACTGTGTCAAAAGCTGCTGATTATTTAAGTACAATGAATACTTGTATAGGACTGAGAATTGACTGTTCTGTTGCATTTAGCGACATGAAGGTCACCTTGGGGAGTACAGTATGGGGGAGGGCAAAAGCTTGTTTGGAGTGGAAATAATACGTGCTTATTAGGGGTTTTGTGGAGGTTTAAATATGAAACTTTATCTTCACTTTATCTTTGTAAACTGGGAAGGATATGAGCAAATCATATGGATTTTATCTTAAATATATCTTTGTCCAGACTCTTATCCAGTTTATCATTGTATTAACTCTGGAACCTAACACAGTTGGGTGTTCATATGTATTTGTTACGAATTTGCAGACATTGGGTTTACATGACCTTTACTGCTTTCCTTAGTTATACATCTGGACTGAGAGATTGAGAGATTACAGCATTGCACAGTGATTTGGAATTCAGACAGATCCCTGGCACTTATGAGCTTTGTAGTCTTAGGAAAATCATGTAAAATAAAGACAAAAACCTACCTCAAAGATTGTTATGAGGGTTAAAAGATACTACATTTGTGTTCATCCAGTGAATGCCGCACGCCAACTTTCTGCCACCCTGTGTGGTAGGTGCTGGGATACAGCAGTGAGTGTGAAAGTTAAAGGCCCTCTTCTCATTGATTTACACAGGGGAAGAGAGGGAGCAGAGACAATGAGCAGTATACATATGCAACCTACTGGGCAGTGTGCATAAACAATGTATCTATAGCCCCAGGGACATAATAGGTGCTCAATACGTGATAGTTTATTTGCATTATTATTTCCAGC